GCTTACTCGTGACGCTGTTGCTCGCTTAGCCACTCGCAACCACCTGTCTTTAGCCGAATGCGCTCACTTCCGACAGCACAGGACTGCACAGGCACTATACGACGCTGTAGTCTCTCGTTACTCCTCGCCTGCCGCTGCTGCTCTAGGCCGTCTTCTACTGCCCTACCTGTTTCCCGAGCTGTCCGCCTTTGCCACAGTAGAGGACCTCGTTACCCACCTTCGTACTAGCGACGCTCGCTACCGCGCTGCCCTCCCAGCAGAGTTCCTTGAGAGGAACCCGCCCCTGATGTACATCACTCTCTACTTTATAGTCACCCGCCTCCCTGACTCTCTTTGCGCTATCAGGGACCACTTTCTCGCACTTGACCCCACAGCCCTCACTGTCGACCTACTCGAGCAGCACCTCCTTGCAGCTGAGACTAGTGTAATCGCTGTAGGTGCAGCTCGTGGCACTCCTCGCACGCCCTTCTTTGAGGGGTTTTCCCCCTCCCCCCTTGCCCCCTCCCACGCCTTTTGCTGCTGCTGTTGATGTCCTTGGTGCTGAGGATGTCGGGGTTGCTTCTGCTAATGGGAAGCGCCGCAGCAGCAAGGGCAAGGGTGGTAGGGGTGGTGGCGATGGCAGCGGGGGTGGTGGTGGGGGCAGCAGTGGAGGTGGTGGAGGCAGTGGAGGTGGTGGCGGTGGTGGGAGTGGTGGCGGGAGTGGGGGCTTTGGTGGCGGCGGTGGTGGCAGCGGTGGGGGTGGCGGTAGTGGCGGCAGTGGGAGTGGTGGCGGTCGGGCTGGAGCTACTCACCGGGGAGGTTCTAGCAGTGGCCAGAGGCAGCAGCAGCAGCGTCGGAGCGAGACCTCATCGCCCCAGCAGCTTCGTGAGTGGTTTTCTCAGCGTGGGGCGTCTGGGGGTAGTGGTAGCTGCCCGTATGTCATTCGCACGGGTGACCGTGCTGGTCAGACATGCGGGAAGCCTCACACTCAGCACCGCTGCTTCTCCCGCCTCGACGATGCTTGGCGCGCAGAGTTTGGTGACGAGGCCGAGCGCCCCCGCTGGGCAGAGCTGCTTAGGTCTGGAGTTGCTATCTTTGACCTAGACTATGATGCCATCCTTGCTGCTATGTATGCCTTGTCTGTTAGTGCTGAGGGTGACTGTTACCTTTGTGCGCCGCCTGACCCAGGTATAGAGGCTGCTGCTCTAGGTGCTAGTGAGTCTGCTCTCCCTGGTACTGCGCCTGCTGAGGCCTTGCACACCTTTACGCTTGACTCAGGTGTGTTACGCTGTTTCTTTCACGACAGCACCACCCTCACTCCTCTATCTGCACCTGTACCGGTCAGACTGGCTGACCCCTCCTGGGTCAAGTCTGTACACACTGGCTACCGAGCCTCCTTAGGTAGCTGCGTCTGCTCAGGTGTCCGCGTCAGGTCCGGTAGCACCCCCTTGCTCGTGTCGCCTCCTGTCACACCAGACTCTTGCTCCAGGTCCCCCTCCGGTAGACCCCCTCCCCCCCCAGGGTCCGGCTCCCTCAGGTGTGTCTCAGGTAGACCCTCTCCCTGGTACTGTGCCTGTTGAGGTAGCTGTCGACTCAGGTGCTGCTCGAGGTGCTGCGTCTGGGGGTGCTACGTCTGGGGGTGCGGAGCCTGGGGGTGCTGAGGCTGAGGGTGCCAGGTCTGGGGGTGCTAAGCCTGGGGGTGCGGAGCCTGGGGGTGCTGAGCCTGCGGGTTTGCAGCCTAGGGGTGCTGAGTCAGAGGGTGTGGAGCCTGGGGGTGCTGAGTCTGAGGGTGCGGAGTCTGGGGGTGCTGAGCCTCGGGGTACTGCTTTTTCTGGAGGTCCTGCGGGCACTTTGCCACGACTGTCTCCCTGGCCGGAGCATCTCTCCCCGCAGCAGCTGCGCGAGTGGTTTGCTCAGCGCACACGCCTTCGGAGTGGGGCTGCCGGAGCTGGAGACTCTGCCGCTGGAGACACTGGAGCTGGAGGTGTTGGAGCTACTCGCCTTGGAGGTACTGGAGTTACTGCTGGAGCTGGTGGAACCAGAGGTGCTGCAGCTGCTGGTCCTGGAGGTGCTCGTACCAGGGGTACTGGAGCTGCCGGGACTAGTAGTGTTGGGGGCGCTGGCGCTGGAGGAGCTGGAGCTGGAGACCCTACGAAGCCTGGAGGTGCTGGGGCTAGAGCCGCTGGAGCTGAAGGCACTGGCGCTGGTGGCGTTGGAGCTGGTGACACTGGAGCTGTTGGCACTGGAGCTGGAGGCACTGGCACTGGTGGTGCTGGAGCTGGAGGAGCTGGAGCTGGACGCACTGGAGCTGTTGACCCTGGCGCTGGAGGTGCTGGAGCTGGGGGTGTTGTGTCTGGCGGTGCTGGTATTGGAGGCACTGTGCGGCCGCAACCGTACTTCGCTCCCCTGCTTGAGCAGGTTCTTGGTCTCCCGTCTTCTACTGGTTTTACTCCTCCCTTACTGTGTCCACCGCCTGACCAGTCGCAGCCGCCGTTATTGCCAGCCTCCCCACTGCCTGCTCCTTCTCCTTACGCTGAGCAGACCGGAGGTCTTACAGAGCATCGTGAGCCTGAGTCTCGTCCTGCCTCGCCTGTTCGCGCTGTTCACACTGGTCGTCGTGTTCCTCTGCCGCTTCCTCATGAGTCCTCTCTTCCTGCCGTCCCTGACCCTGAGTCTGACCTTGCTCGTGCTGCCAGTCCCACTGTCCCTCGTCTCCTCGCCACTGTTTTCACTTACCCTTCTTTTGAGTCCACTGCTGCGTCTGCCCTCTTTGCTAAGCTAGTTGACTTTGCTGCTGCCTGTCGTCTAGACTACGCCACTGCTCTTGTTGCTGAGTCTGAGCCTGCCAGTCCTCCGTCCATCGGGGGTGAGTGTGCTCTTGGCACGGATGTCCTTGAGGACAGGCAGGAGGACTTTGAGTGTCTTGCAGTTGCTGTACCTCGTTTCGCATCCATGCTGCTTGCCCTTGAGGGAGACCCTGATGCACCAGACATCCCGACCCCGCGCTCTTAAGCAGAGGCGATTACGGGTCCTTACTCTTCTCAGTGGCAGACAGCCATGGATGCCGAGATGGCATCCTGGTGTTAAGAAAGAGGGAATGAATGAACTAGGAAAGTGTGTGATACAAATATGAAACCTGTACCCCTTAGTGTCTACCCCACTACAGCCTACATAGGCTAGGTCATATATATCTGACACACCCCCATAGGCAAAGTGGGGGAGAACTAGGGGTCACAAGACCAGTCAAGCAAAGCAAAGCAAAGCAAGCTCAGGGTGGATCACAACGTCACCACACATTCCGAGCACAGGTTCAAAGGCCACAAGGCTAGTTCACATGTAGGATTATATATAAAAGGTAAACAAGCAGGTGCAGGTATATATAGATCACAGTACAAGTAAAGTCAAGAGGTAAGCAAGTGAGGCCAAGTACGCACAAGACCTAGCATAGTACAGAAACGCTGATGATCACAAGGCTGAAGTGCCTTGGTGAAGTTATCAGTAGTGTTGGCCTGAGAGGCCACGTAAGCAAGGCGCAGCTGACCACGCTGCTGCAGCTCACGAGCAAGGAAGTAGCAAAGAGCAATGTGCTTCGTTCTGTGCTCCAGTCTGTGCTCCCGACACAAGGCCAGCATGGCCTTGTTGTCTACGTACAGAACTGGAGGAGAACGAGGCGGCTCTCCCAGGTCAGTCAGCAGGTAGGTGAGCCAGCGTAACTCTTGTGCAGCCATGGCCCCTGCATAGATCTCAGCTTCACAGCTGGAGCTGAGAACAGAAGACGAGCGGGTAGACCGCCACGAAACACAGCCGGAACCAAGGCTGAAGGTGTAACCCTGTGACGACCGCTGCGTAGCCAGGTCGTCAACCCAAGACGCGTCTGCGTGACCAGTGAGGACCACTGGACTCCGCCCTCCAAGCACGAGCCCCATGCCCGACGTACTGCACAAGTAGCGCAACACCCTCTTCGCTGCAGCCATGTGCTCTGGTCGGTGTCTCCCAGGAGCAACATAGCGTGCCAAGATGCTAAGAGGGTATGCCAGGTCAGGTCGAGTGCTGGTCATCAGGTACATGAGGCAGCCAACAAGCTCTAGATACGGGCCACTCGGCTCTACGGACTCATCCGAAGGCAGAGCTGAAAGCGAGTGGCGAGTAGTCAGAGGAGTGGCCTGAGGCGAGGAGTACGTGAAGTCGAAGCGCTGAAGGACCTGCTGCACCATGTGTGACTGAGTCAGGGTAATGGTGCGCCGTGCTCTGTCCCGGGTGATCTGCAAGTCAAGATAGCTGCACAATTCACCCAGGTCTGTGCACTTCACGTGGGCGAGTCCAGCAGTAGCAAAGACCAAGTCGTCGACGTACACGAGGATGTAGAACGGCGGCAGCAAAGTGTCGGTGCGCAGAAACAGCGGCGGGTCAGCAGTAGAAGGAGCAAACCCAAGAGCCGCAAGCGTAGTCCTCAGTGTGTTGTGCCACTCACGGGGCGCCTGGCGGAGACCGTAGACTGGCCGCCGGAGGCTCCACTGGGTACCAGGAGGAAACGACCCAGTGAAGCCAGGTGGGCGGCGCAGCCAGATCTCCTCGTGCAGGCTGCCCTGTAGGAAAGTAGTGCTGAAGTCAAGAGAGTGAAGCTCGTAGTCACGCTGAGCAGCGACGTGCAGCAGAACCCGAAGAGTGGTCATCTTCGGGGTCGGGGAGAAGGTCTGAAAGTAGTCAACTCCCTGCCGCTGACTGAAGCCTCGAGCCACGTAATGCGCCTTGAAGACAGGCGGAGAACCCGGCGGCCGCTTCACCCTGAAAATCCACATGCCACTGACGATGTTCGCCCCAGGTGGGGGAACCTCGTCGACGTAGGTGCCTGTGGACTTCCAGGAAGCCATCTCTGCGTCCATGGCTGACTGCCACTGAGAGGAGTAGGGACCCTCTATCGCCTCTGCGTAGGAGCGCGGGGTCGGGATGTCTGGTGCATCCGGGTCTCCCTCAGGGGCAAGCAGCATGGACACGATATGAGGTAAAGCAGCAGAAAAACACTAGAACTCCTCCTGCCTGTCCTCAAGAACGTCCGTGCTAAGAGCACACTCACCCCCGACGGACGGAGGACAGACAGACGCAGACTCAGACCCAGTAACAAGACTAGCGGCGTAGTCTAGACGACAGTGAGCAGCGAAGTCGACAAGCTCAGCAACTAAGGCAGACGCAGCAGTGGACTCAAAGGAAGGGTCAGTGCCAACAGTGGCCAGGAGACGCGTGACAGTAGGACTGGCAGCACGAAGGGAGTCAGACTCCGGGTCAGCAAGTTGGAGTTGTAGCAAACCTTGAGGGAAGCGGAGGAGGTGGGCAGGAGGTCCGAGGCGTCACGGGCGTCCCACTGGCGCGCGCGCTCATGCAGGTAGAGTGCGACGGTGGCGCTGTAGTCCACTGTTCGCCTCTGCATGCCCCGCCGCTGCATCCTGCGCGCTGCATACAAGGGAGGGGTGGTGGGAACGTGGGGGGACGAGCGGGGGAATGGAGAGGAGTGGGGAGGAAAGGTAGGAGGGGGAGGGACTGCAAACACCAGTGCACGTACCATCAAAGAATCCGCCTCTCCCTCCGTAATCTCCGCCCCGTCCGCCACCATAGTCTCCCCTTCCGCCATACTCCCCTCTTCCCCCATACTCCCCGCGCCCCCCAAACCCTGCGCCAGGATGAAACCCGCCTTCAAATCCTCCTCCGCGCCCAAACCCCTGCCCGGGGCCCCCATGCCCCGGTCCCCCTCGTCCCCCCGATCCGCCCGGTCCGCCTGGCCCGGGGTTACCGCGCCCGGGACCATGTCCCATCCCCGGTCCCCCCGGTCCTGGTCCGCCCATCCCCGCGCCCCCCGGTCCCGGTGGCCCCATCCCCGGTCCGGGCCCGGGTCCCGGTCCGCCCATCCCTGGTCCCCCGGGACCCGGTCCGCCCATCCCCATTCCCGCTCCCCGCCCGGGGCCTGGCGCGTGGCCGTATGCGAACGGCGGAGGCGGCTGCGCCTGCTGCGGCGGGCCCAGCGGCCCCGGCGGCTGGTTCTGCATTTGCGCTTCAGAACAAGGTTGTGTGCGATGCGGTGGGATGCGATGCGATGCGATGCGTTGCGATGCGATGGCGAGGTTGCAGGAAATTTGAACGCAACGAGGTGAGATTGAAATCACTGCGAAAAAAACAATGTGGGGTCTAGTAGGGTTGCTTTCCTCGCCACAACTACCGGACCACGCGGCAAAGCGAGGCTAATTCTTTCGAAAGAACCCCTTCGCGCTGTCTGCCATAGCTCACGCTGTGAGCAGAAATGGCAACTTCAGCAGAAATGTGTGTTTTTTTGCTGTTTCGCGGGGTGTGATCGGTTGAGAGTGGGATAAAAATCTGGGCGAAGAAATGTAACTAGAAATAGATCGGGTCACCACGCCACCCCAGCACACTACATTTTGCTTGACGTGGAATCACTTCGGCAGTGCGAAGGGTTTCGTCGTTGCACTTGAACGGGTTCGCCTGGAGGACAGTTGCTGGACACAATGACATGATTCGCGTCGGTGTTACAGTTTCGCTTTCGCAGTTACGCAAGAACAGTCTCTATGTGTGAAATGTGACAATTTTTAATTAGGAAGAGTCATTTTCGAATCCTAGCCGCTCGAACACGACATACGGACGATGGAGATTCTCGAGAGGGAAGGTCACAGCGGTCCCCCGTTAGTAGACCATCTGCCGATTCCCGAGACGGAGGAGCTGCTGCTCCACCCGCCTCCCGACTTCCACGCGTCGCACGACGGCGCTTTCTCCCCGCATTCGGTGCGCTCGCCGCGCTCCTCGCCGCTACAGCAGTACCCCTCCCCCCCCGCCAGGCGCGCGCGGGGGTCGCGCGGGCATTATAGCGAGATTAGCGAGGAGGATTATAGCGAGGATGAGGACAACGATGGGGATAGCCTTCTGGATCCGTCCGGCAAGCGAGGGAAGCAACGTCGACCGTTCGATTTGGATTTAGATCGACCCCTGGGGTCGAGTTCGCTTCCTTACCCCTTCTCTCTCCTTTCCTCGTATTCTCCTTCCTCGCTCTCGTCGCTCTGCTCCGATGCGATTTGGCTCAGATGGCCCGTAATCGCAGCCGTTGCAGTAATCATCCTCGTTATAATCTTCCTCACTTCCCCTGCAGCAGTGTCCCCCACCACAACTACACCCCCATCGGACGGCTCAGATTCACTCTATCCGTCTGATCTGGACGGCACAGGAACCGGTTCATCGCGAGAACCTAGAGGTTACCATCCCTTACCAGTCGACTCGTTTAAAGGCGTAGACGCGTCCACGCTAGATCCGTCAACGTTCCCCTCAGGCGGACGGGGAGCGGGGGGAGGTGACTGGGGAACCGGCGCTGGCGGAAACTGGGGTGGCGGAAAACCGGGGGAAGACCCGCAGGAGGGGCTGTATCCGGACGCGAAGCCCGGGCGCGGAGGGGGGAGATGGGGAAAAGCGGCCGGGGCGGCAGGCGCGGGCGGCGGGGGACATTTTGGGGAAGAGGCGGCGGAAGTGGAAGATTATAGGGACTCCGCGGGGGTGGGGCGGGAGGGGGAGGTGGTGGGGGGGGATTTGAAGCGGAAGAGGAGCCGATTGGATGACGAGGTGGTGACGTGGCGCGGCGCGCCGTGGAGATTCGACGTCGGTGATTGGCTGAGCAGCTGCAATGGGGAGTCGGGGGTGATCAAGACCGTGGAGGTGGGTGCTGGGGGGAATAAGGAGGGAGGTGGGACTGGGGGAAGGGGAGGGTGCGGGGGGAGGGCTTCGAGGGGAGGGAAGCAAGGGGAGGAATCGGACTGGGTGAAGTTGCTCGAGGTTGGTTGTATCACCGCCAATAGTAAACGCCTTTCCATGTGTGCATGACATGGGATGCATGGTTATCCCACCCCACGTGCGTTCATGCATCCGTCCACGTTTGCATGCATGCATGCATGATGCATGGAGTGCATTGGGTGCATGCGTGCTTGGGATGCTTGGGATGCATGGGGTGCATGGGGTGCATGGGGTGCATGGGGTGCATGGGGTGCATGGCATGGCATGCAACAGGAGATGTATGGCAACAAGTGCATGCAGGACTGCAACGGCGTGGGCACGTGTCACTACGACACTGGCCGATGCCGCTGCCGCATCGGATACACAGGTGGGATTTATTGTTGCTGTCATTAGTATCAGTGTAAGTATTAATGTTACTAGCAATAGTAATAGTAGTAATAATGAAAGTTATTATGTTATTATTATACTGTTGCGAAGCTGCTTCTGTTTTCTCCTGTCACCGCGGTCTGACTTCCCAATAGCCTGCCTGGCAGGAATGGACTGTTCACACATGGTTGCACTCCTTCTTGAGACGCCTCGAAACAGAGACTCTCTTCTTGCATTACCCACCCCACCATTGCACCGCCCACCCGCCCAACTGACAGGAGCGGACTGTTCACACATGGACGCGCATCCCTGCTCCTCCCCACCCACGTCTTCTCCGGGAGTGGTGGCTGGGAGTGCGTGGGCGTGTGCAGGAGAGTGCGACCTGCACTCGGGCCTCTGCTTCTGTGGCGCTGCCTCGCTCTTCCCCCTGCGACCCGTCCCCGACCCCTGTGGATTCGCACATGACTTGTGAGTGCGTGAGATGTGAGTGCATCACCTCTGAGAGGGCGGCTGGAGTGGTGGCTGGGAGTGCGTGGGCGTGTGCGGGGGAGTGTGACCTTCACTCGGGCCTCTGCTTCTGCGGTGCTGCCTCGCTCTTCCCCCTCCGCCCCGTCCCCGACCCCTGCGGCTTTGCACATGACCTGTGAGTGCATCACCTGACCTGTGAGTGCATCACCTGACCTGTGAGTGCATGCCATGTGAGAGGACGGCGGGGGTGGTGGTTGGGAGCGCGTGGGCGTGTGCGGGGGAGTGCCACTTTCACTCAGGTCTCTGCTTCTGTGGCGCCGGCTCACTCTTCCTTCTCCGACCCGTCCCCGACCCCTGTGGCTTCGCGCATGACCTGTGAGGCTTCTCATGCGCTTGTTGCTATGCCTCAGTGCTTTGGCTTATGCAATGTGCACTGTGAGTGGAGCTGTGATTGCACGAGCTGTTGTGAGTGGAGCTGTGATTGCACGAGCTGTTGTGAGTGGAGCTGTGATTGCACGAGCTGTTGTGAGTGGAGCTGTGATTGCACGAGCTGTTGTGAGTGGAGCTGTGATTGCACGAGCTGTTGTGAGTGGAGCTGTGATTGCACGAGCTGTTGTGAGTGGAGCTGTGATTGCACGAGCTGTTGTGAGTGGAGCTGTGATTGCACGAGCTGTTGTGAGTGGAGCTGTGATTGCACGAGCTGTTGTGAGTGGAGCTGTGATTGCACGAGCTGTTGTGAGTGGAGCTGTGATTGCACGAGCTGTTGTGAGTGGAGCTGTGATTGCACGAGCTGTTGTGAGTGGAGCTGTGATTGCACGAGCTGTTGTGAGTGGAGCTGTGATTGCACGAGCTGTTGTGAGTGGAGCTGTGATTGCACGAGCTGTTGTGAGTGGAGCTGTGATTGCACGAGCTGTTGTGAGTGGAGCTGTGATTGCACGAGCTGTTGTGAGTGGAGCTGTGATTGCACGAGCTGTTGTGAGTGGAGCTGTGATTGCACGAGCTGTTGTGAGTGGAGCTGTGATTGCACGAGCTGTTGTGAGTGGAGCTGTGATTGCACGAGCTGTTGTGAGTGGAGCTGTGATTGCACGAGCTGTTGTGAGTGGAGCTGTGATTGCACGAGCTGGTGTGAGTGGAGCTGTGATTGCACGAGCTGTTGTGAGTGGAGCTGTGATTGCACGAGCTGTTGTGAGTGGAGCTGTGATTGCACGAGCTGGTGTGAGTGGAGCTGTGATTGCACGAGCTGTTGTGAGTGGAGCTGTGATTGCACGAGCTGTTGTGAGTGGAGCTGTGATTGCACGAGCTGTTGTGAGTGGAGCTGTGATTGCACGAGCTGTTGTGAGTGGAGCTGTGATTGCACGAGCTGTTGTGAGTGGAGCTGTGATTGCACGAGCTGTTGTGAGTGGAGCTGTGATTGCACGAGCTGTTGTGAGTGGAGCTGTGATTGCACGAGCTGTTGTGAGTGGAGCTGTTGTGAGTGGAGCTGTGATTGCACGAGCTGTTGTGAGTGGAGCTGTGATTGCACGAGCTGTTGTGAGTGGAGCTGTGATTGCACGAGCTGGTGTGAGTGGAGCTGTGATTGCACGAGCTGGTGTGAGTGGAGCTGTGATTGCACGAGCTGTTGTGAGTGGAGCTGTGATTGCACGAGCTGTTGTGAGTGGAGCTGTGATTGCACGAGCTGTTGTGAGTGGAGCTGTGATTGCACGAGCTGTTGTGAGTGGAGCTGTGATTGCACGAGCTGTTGTGAGTGGAGCTGTGATTGCACGAGCTGTTGTGAGTGGAGCTGTGATTGCACGAGCTGTTGTGAGTGGAGCTGTGATTGCACGAGCTGTTGTGAGTGGAGCTGTGATTGCACGAGCTGTTGTGAGTGGAGCTGTGATTGCACGAGCTGTTGTGAGTGGAGCTGTGATTGCACGAGCTGTTGTGAGTGGAGCTGTGATTGCACGAGCTGTTGTGAGTGGAGCTGTGATTGCACGAGCTGTTGTGAGTGGAGCTGTGATTGCACGAGCTGTTGTGAGTGGAGCTGTGATTGCACGAGCTGTTGTGAGTGGAGCTGTGATTGCACGAGCAGTTGTGAGTGGAGCTGTGATTGCACGAGCTGTTGTGAGTGGAGCTGTGATTGCACGAGCTGTTGTGAGTGGAGCTGTGATTGCACGAGCTGTTGTGAGTGGAGCTGTGATTGCACGAGCTGGTGTGAGTGGAGCTGTGATTGCACGAGCTGTTGTGAGTGGAGCTGTGATTGCACGAGCTGTTGTGAGTGGAGCTGTGATTGCACGAGCTGTTGTGAGTGGAGCTGTGATTGCACGAGCTGGTGTGAGTGGAGCTGTGATTGCACGAGCTGTTGTGAGTGGAGCTGTGATTGCACGAGCTGTTGTGAGTGGAGCTGTGATTGCACGAGCTGTTGTGAGTGGAGCTGTGATTGCACGAGCTGTTGTGAGTGGAGCTGTGATTGCACGAGCTGTTGTGAGTGGAGCTGTGATTGCACGAGCTGTTGTGAGTGGAGCTGTGATTGCACGAGCTGTTGTGAGTGGAGCTGTGATTGCACGAGCTGTTGTGAGTGGAGCTGTGATTGCACGAGCTGGTGTGAGTGGAGCTGTGATTGCACGAGCTGGTGTGAGTGGAGCTGTGATTGCACGAGCTGTTGTGAGTGGAGCTGTGATTGCACGAGCTGTTGTGAGTGGAGCTGTGATTGCACGAGCTTTTGTGAGTGGAGCTGTGATTGCACGAGCTGTTGTGAGTGGAGCTGTGATTGCACGAGCTGTTGTGAGTGGAGCTGTGATTGCACGAGCTGTTGTGAGTGGAGCTGTGATTGCACGAGCTGTTGTGAGTGGAGCTGTGATTGCACGAGCTGTTGTGAGTGGAGCTGTGATTGCACGAGCTGTTGTGAGTGGAGCTGTGATTGCACGAGCTGTTGTGAGTGGAGCTGTGATTGCACGAGCTGTTGTGAGTGGAGCTGTGATTGCACGAGCTGTTGTGAGTGGAGCTGTGATTGCACGAGCTGTTGTGAGTGGAGCTGTGATTGCACGAGCTGTTGTGAGTGGAGCTGTGATTGCACGAGCTGTTGTGAGTGGAGCTGTGATTGCACGAGCTGTTGTGAGTGGAGCTGTGATTGCACGAGCTGTTGTGAGTGGAGCTGTGATTGCACGAGCTGTTGTGAGTGGAGCTGTGATTGCACGAGCTGTTGTGAGTGGAGCTGTGATTGCACGAGCTGTTGTGAGTGGAGCTGTGATTGCACGAGCTGTTGTGAGTGGAGCTGTGATTGCACGAGCTGTTGTGAGTGGAGCTGTGATTGCACGAGCTGTTGTGAGTGGAGCTGTGATTGCACGAGCTGTTGTGAGTGGAGCTGTGATTGCACGAGCTGTTGTGAGTGGAGCTGTGATTGCACGAGCTGTTGTGAGTGGAGCTGTGATTGCACGAGCTGTTGTGAGTGGAGCTGTGATTGCACGAGCTGTTGTGAGTGGAGCTGTGATTGCACGAGCTGTTGTGAGTGGAGCTGTGATTGCACGAGCTGTTGTGAGTGGAGCTGTGATTGCACGAGCTGTTGTGAGTGGAGCTGTGATTGCACGAGCTGTTGTGAGTGGAGCTGTGATTGCACGAGCTGTTGTGAGTGGAGCTGTGATTGCACGAGCTGTTGTGAGTGGAGCTGTGATTGCACGAGCTGTTGTGAGTGGAGCTGTGATTGCACGAGCTGTTGTGAGTGGAGCTGTGATTGCACGAGCTGTTGTGAGTGGAGCTGTGATTGCACGAGCTGTTGTGAGTGGAGCTGTGATTGCACGAGCTGTTGTGAGTGGAGCTGTGATTGCACGAGCTGTTGTGAGTGGAGCTGTGATTGCACGAGCTGTTGTGAGTGGAGCTGTGATTGCACGAGCTGTTGTGAGTGGAGCTGTGATTGCACGAGCTGTTGTGAGTGGAGCTGTGATTGCACGAGCTGTTGTGAGTGGAGCTGTGATTGCACGAGCTGTTGTGAGTGGAGCTGTGATTGCACGAGCTGTTGTGAGTGGAGCTGTGATTGCACGAGCTGGTGTGAGTGGAGCTGTGATTGCACGAGCTGTTGTGAGTGGAGCTGTGATTGCACGAGCTGGTGTGAGTGGAGCTGTGATTGCACGAGCTGTTGTGAGTGGAGCTGTGATTGCACGAGCTGTTGTGAGTGGAGCTGTGATTGCACGAGCTGTGTGAGTGGAGCTGTGATTGCACGAGCTGTTGTGAGTGGAGCTGTGATTGCACGAGCTGTTGTGAGTGGAGCTGTGATTGCACGAGCTGTTGTGAGTGGAGCTGTGATTGCACGAGCTGTTGTGAGTGGAGCTGTGATTGCACGAGCTGTTGTGAGTGGAGCTGTGATTGCACGAGCTGTTGTGAGTGGAGCTGTGATTGCACGAGCTGTTGTGAGTGGAGCTGTGATTGCACGAGCTGTTGTGAGTGGAGCTGTGATTGCACGAGCTGTTGTGAGTGGAGCTGTGATTGCACGAGCTGTTGTGAGTGGAGCTGTGATTGCACGAGCTGGTGTGAGTGGAGCTGTGATTGCACGAGCTGGTGTGAGTGGAGCTGTGATTGCACGAGCTGTTGTGAGTGGAGCTGTGATTGCACGAGCTGTTGTGAGTGGAGCTGTGATTGCACGAGCTGTTGTGAGTGGAGCTGTGATTGCACGAGCTGTTGTGAGTGGAGCTGTGATTGCACGAGCTGGTGTGAGTGGAGCTGTGATTGCACGAGCTGTTGTGAGTGGAGCTGTGATTGCACGAGCTGTTGTGAGTGGAGCTGTGATTGCACGAGCTGTTGTGAGTGGAGCTGTGATTGCACGAGCTCTTGTGAGTGGAGCTGTGATTGCACGAGCTGTTGTGAGTGGAGCTGTGATTGCACGAGCTGTTGTGAGTGGAGCTGTGATTGCACGAGCTGTTGTGAGTGGAGCTGTGATTGCACGAGCTGTTGTGAGTGGAGCTGTGATTGCACGAGCTGTTGTGAGTGGAGCTGTGATTGCACGAGCTGGTGTGAGTGGAGCTGTGATTGCA